CCTTTTGGTTTAAGTGAATGAGTCCTAATTCAAACAAAGGTGGCAGCCTGTATCACTGCCGCTCCCTTGTCCTTGACTACAAACAAAGTGCACTTTTCAGCCTCTAGATCACCACTGCACCTGCAACATTGTCCCAGCTCTGAAAACATAATTACTTTGCTATGTGTTTGAAGTGTTGCTTTACTCCCTAGATTAAGCCTTTCTGTCCGGCTTTGTTGTAAATGTAACAAAACTTGGCTTTCTCAGTTTCTTCAGCAGTTTGTCAAATAAATACACAGCTATACTAAGTCAGCAGGAAGAACAGTATCTTATCCTAGATTTGAACTTTGGCTTACTGGTTAAATATATGCACTGTGCTTCAGGCTAGACAGATGTCAGAGCTTTGTCTTCATTTTGGTGATTCCCCCCAAGAGCGAGAAAGAAAGAGAGAAAAATCCAAAACTTTTGACTTTTTGCTGACAGAATTTTTGCATTTAGTCATACACAGGCCTGTCACAATATCCAAATCTCTCGATATGCATCTCACGGTACAATATTTACTGCAATATTTTGGAGAGGCTTATATAATTGTAGATTGTTTAAAATATTCTGACAAACTTTTGGTATGAATTATTTCCGTCATAACCCCAAGAATTCAAGTAAAAAACATATTTTTTCATGTTATCTGCACTGAAATTATGTGGTTTCCGATGTTTATAAACTGTTGCTACTATAAAACCATGTATTTAAGCAAAGGAACTTGTAATTTGATATATTGTGACAGCCCACGATATTATTGTGAGACTTTTGATGATACAATATCACAATATTTGGGTTATTGTTACATCCCTAGTCTACATCATAAATATTGCCCCCCCAAAAATAAACAATAAGTTGATATTGAATGTTTTGATTATTGCAATAACAATATTTAGAGAATATGAATAAATTAGGCAATCTATCAGAAATGCGCTAAAATGTGCTGGTAAATGATGTCTTGTCTGAGTATTTTATTATTATTATTTTCATCTTAGACAATATACAGGTTATTCCAATTAAAAACTTTTTCTCTAAAAGCTACAACTGCAATATCACATTTTTTTCTAGATTCCTACCTCCCTTGTTATTCTTCTGACTTTGATCTAAAAATATGCTTCTTAAAAGTGCACATTTTTCATACATGTTAGTACAAGAATGATTTTCTTAGTCTTTATAAAAACCGCAGCAGAACAGTTTGTATCTGTTATGAGTCATAGAAGTTATTAATTCAACCTTCTACGGGTCAAAGCTTATAATATAGCCAAAAAATAACAAACAAAAAAAATTCAGTAGAGCAAAGAAAATGCCCACATGACAAATACTGACTTACCAAAAATTGTGCTTGTACTGAACGTTTAGTCCATATATAGTCATTATCGTGTCAGGCCTAGTTGTGCTTTATATTGTTTAAGTTTGCATAAACCGAGGTGATACGCAGTCACATGTGAACACACCACTGTCAAATAATCATTTAGTGCAGCAGCTATTGACATCGCGGTGAGGTTTGCTACGCTCAAACTCCTCTATGTCCTGTCCAATGTGAAAGCCATTGACGTCTTTTGTCAAGGATAAGTAAACAGCGTGTTGGAACACATGCCCGCTCTGCCTGACAGCTCTGGGATAGAAAAACCACAGAGAAAAAACAAAAAACAAAAATGAAAACAAAAACATTAATAAGCATACCCTTTTTAAACTTTTGATTAATATGCTTAAAGGGAAGTTATTAGACAACTTTTTGAAGGGCCTTGAAGTACCTTTTTGTTTAGTGTTAATCCAAGACTGTTTACATCATGCCACTTTTCTGACTTCATTGTTTCTGTTTGAGTTAATGGGAGTGGTGGTTAGAGAGATTAAGTAATTGCAGAGACAATAAAAGTGCCTTGTAATCAAGATGTCAGCATTCTAAGTGTGCTGAAGTGTTGCAGTAAAGTATTCAGAGCATGAGAGGGTGGTCAGCAGGTCAGCTCCAGCACCACAGAGCAAAACATCAAAAGTCTCTCCATTTGGTCACAGTACCTCTTTACGTAATCGTAACATGCTTTGCAAAGAAAAATACACTCATTTGTTACTTTTTCATTTAAAAAAGCTTGATTTAAAGGTAACCCAACTTCTATAAATGAACATGCGGGAAATATATCAAAATGAAATCATATATTGCGTTTTTTATATGTAACAGTGCAACAATTAAATATTTTGTATATAGTATATCAAAAACATCTTTTAAATCTAAAAACAACACATATATTGATATTTCTGCACTTTTGTTGCCAGGTATGCAGTCCAAAACCAAGAAATTTACCGGTACATTTAGCACATTTCTGATGCATTGCCATGATTTGCCATCTGAATAATACTGTTAAAAAATCTACATAAACTATATTTTTGTCAGTATTGTCTCAAAGTTACGTCATAGGAAAAGAATGAGTCACTTTAACAATGACTATCTGTGTTCATTGTGTTTTTCAAAGTAAAGTGAGAAATTCCAGCACACTTGAACTCAAAGCCCAAAAGATTTATTGAGACTAGTTTGCTTTATGCGTCATATCCATTACTTTTGTTTGTCCTGAGCTTAAATTGAAGGTTGTGTGTAACCATGGCGATGTTGTTATGGGTTGTCTCTGTGTGACAGTCACAGTGTAAGTGGGTGGTCTGGTGTCGCTGGCCGTGTGATGAAGAGCCCACCCCCTTCGCCCCCTCTGCTCCCGTGAGGCGTCTGATTAGTGGTGGCTGTGGTCTGCGCACATGCATGGATCTTACTCATGTTCAAATGACTGTAATTTGGGGCAGGAGAAACAGCACTTAGTCCAGGGAGAGGCCTAGTTCTTCTCTGAGCAGAAGATGGATGCTCTTCACTTGTTTCCTTTCACTAAAACACACTCCCTATAAAAGGTTCAACTTCATGTCAACATGTTCTGCATTAAGCTAGACTGAAGTGCTTCACTACCTGCCTATGTAAACTCAAGAGGCATTGTGCGGGACTTGATAAACTCGCCCCATGCAGACCCGCATATTTTGGACGTGAGCTTTAGGGAAACCTCCCTTTCTTGTAAAGCCAGACTCAAAATAAACTTGATTCATACTCTAAAGGAGGTGGTGCTTGCCTTCTCTTCCTGACTGCTGTGGGAAGAGTGTTTTGAAGTTTATTATGTTGTGAAGGAAGTGGTGGAACATACCTTTCATATAGTACCACTTAATAAGTGGAAGTATGTTGGTTTAGTTACTTGTTGTTTACTTGTTCTGTATGCTCATTTTTCTATGTTATGGTTGTTTTGTATGGCGAATTGCAAAGAGAATTCTTTAAATACTTATAAAACTTGTTTGAAACCTCCCATCAAGTGTGGAAAGATATAGTCATTGTCATATGTAACAACTAAATAACATTAGCGCATCAATCAATCTATCAGCATAGCTATGATGTAAGTATCAGTGAATGAATAATACCATTTAAGCCAACTTTACACACACAGCGTGCTAGCCTGGGAACCAGAATACACACCTCTCCAGTGCTTGTATCATTACAGACTGGCCAAGCAAAGAAAATGCAGTTCACAAAACCGAGCTGTAATGAGGTAACAGACACCTAATATCTTGTCTTTATAAAGAAAAATCTTGTTGTACCGGTAATTTAGACCTTTAGACCTCTACTCTGTTCTGAAATGTGCTGGTTTTGGTTTCTATTTCAGTGTTCACTCAAATGTTGATGCTCCTGGGGTGATTTAAAATGTGCAATCTGAACTAATCTCAACTTTTTAAACATGTATCGCAAATATAGCTGCTTGCTTTTGCAGTACTTGGTCAGAAAAATCACAATTAAGTTTGTGTCTGGCTGCCATAGTTACCAAAAGATCTCAGTTTCTAGTTACCGGGAATAGCACTTTTTCTCTTTCTTAGTCTTAACCTAATATCTTTGTCTTGTCTGTACACAAGCTGAGACTTCTATTATGTCGTCCACTCCTGTGATGCTGAGTTCACAGTGTCTAATAAAGCACACAGCTGGTAGAAGCTAAAGATCCCCAGGAGCACGGCTGGGAAATGGTTCAACAAGGTGAACACATGAAGAGGATGATCTCATTGTGTAGACAGGAAAAGCATGCCTTCAACACGAGGAGGACGAGTGCGAGGTGAATGAATACCACGGACAGAACGGGTTGTACAGTGGCGAGTGTCAGTTCTTACTTTGCTGTGGAGGCAATGTGTATGAGCCTACGGGCGCGGCTTTGTGAATTATGACTCTGTGTTATGGAATGAAGGGAGCGGTGCCAGCGCTTTGCTTTGCGGGACCCAGAAGTTTGGTTTTAGAGACAGAAGGGGGTCCGCTGCAGCGTCTTGAATGTCTTGTGCATAACTTTGAAAAGAGTACACACATAACTGCAGTGTTTATTGGTCGAGCTGCTTGTCCTATCATTATGGACATAACTAAACATTTCCACAACAAACAATAGAAAAGAATGGTTTGAAATCCTGAAAGTCTTAAGTTTGTTTTCAGAACAAAAAAAGTTCACATGTGGAGGCCTGAAACCTGTTAGACTTGAACAATCCATCATTGTTCACTGTGGTCGAGCTCTAAATGGAGTCTCTACATGCAAAAGCTGCACAGTAAAAGCATATAGACTATTAATAGATCATCATTCCTGGGAGGCAGAGAGCACAGTTTAATGTATTTAAATTGAAACATGTCTGGCTTCTTGTTTTGTCATTTCATCCTTAACAGTTTTTGCAAATACTGGAACAAGACATAGTTCTAGTTAAGGCTGCAGCAGTTAATCTCAATAATTGTAACTAATTGATTATTAAATCCACTTCTTCTAACACTTCTAAAAATGGGAAAATGTACAAAAGCAATATTTGTTTGACTGGTGGATTAATAAAAAAAAGGTGACTAAAATAAGCATTAGTTGTAGCCCTTGGTCTAATATAAATACACCCAAGATTGTTTTTATTCCTAATGGTCACCATCTGCGTTTTCTTCTGTCTCTGTTCAGGTCATAACTCCAGTGAGGCTCATCATGTCAAACCGTGATTCTTTGGGATATGGCGACCTCCTCCCGCAGGATGTGGTGGATATCTTCGCCCAGGAGAAGAACAGCAAGAAGGCCCGAAAGCAGCAGCGCAGTCGCTCCATCGGCCGAGCTCTGGGCTGGCTCAAGGGGAAAAAGAATAAAAACTTGGGAGATAAGACTCAAAACCCAGGGTTCAGACCTGCTTTTGACTTGGCCCTGGACCTACACCCTGCTGGTTACCAGGGTACACCCAAGGGAGCACAGAAGTCGGGAAAGCAGGGACATCAGCAAAGCAACAGTCATGGTAAGGGTCCACAACAAGTTATCTGTTTTCAAAATATTAACTGACACTGAAAAGTAAATGTGAAGACCAAAATAGATGAACCAATACTGACCTTAAAGTTAGATCAATGGACTTTGAGTTTTCATGCTACCAGCCCAACAAACCAACACAGCCAAACCTAAACGCCCTTTGAATCCATAGGGTGTATAAATGTAAATAAATATTTTATTAGATATTTGATATGTATCTTACGGTCCTCCACACAAAATGTAAATACAGTAAATGATCTGAAGCTATATTATGTAATACTGCCCATTAATGCTAATACATTCTTAAATCCGTAAAGTAACATGAGAAACTAAAATGAGAAACTGTTGAGATTGAGCGGTGGGAACCAGTGAAGGCTCCAGCTCCTTGGCCCCAGGCATGTGTGTGTTTGCTCACTGCCGGGATGTTTGTTCAGAACCACTTCCTGGTTGCTTTTCGACCTTCACCTTGCTTTGTTTGCTGTGAAAAAAATCTCTTTTAGACGCTGATACCATCACCTTGCTTACCTGGTCTGGTCAGGTTACAAGTAGAACAAGCTGCTGTGCACTTGGGTGGGCACGGGGTGAGTATTTAGTTGTAGAGGAAAGTACACCAAGTAATCCAAAGTGCTTTATAGACAAAGAAAGAAAGACTGAAGCACAGATTCCCCATGTTTAGGTCCTCTGAGTGAGATGGTTCATATGGCACTAACATGTCTGAGACTTGTACACACAGAGCTGCTTTAAAGGGCTCATATTTGACTATTTTCTGATCTACTTTATAATGTTTTTTTCTCATCACAAACATACTTGGAGTTGTGTTTTGTTTCATTCACACATATTTAACACACAAACTCTGCATATTTCGGCTGTGTTCTTCTCTCAAACAGGATACATACTCATACATACTCATACAGGAAATGCTCCACTGTGTTTCTAAACTCTGTACACTTTTACTAGAATTAATTTAATGATTTCAGACCTGGAATTGCCCATCTCTACTGAATTAAAGGTAAAAGGAGCTGTTAATTTGAAAACTATCACTGCATGATATCACAAGGTGGAGCAGAGAACATTTTGACCTTTGAGATGTAGACAGACTAATAATAAACGGTTACTCAGACATGTGTGAATGAAACAAAACACAACTATGCACTTTTTTGAGGAGATAACAACATTCTAACATGGTTTTAACCTCACAACAGACATTTTTGTGTAATACATGACCTTCAGAGTTTATGTTTGTGCTCATACTTCCAGGTCTTAATTCACTCATAAGATGTTGACTCACTAACCATTGATTGCCCTCACTGGTATACTTCTTGTTTGGGCTTGTACTTAAAGTACAAATATATGTCATGCAGTACTCTTTCATAGTTGAGTGGCACTTATTGTCTACTTTTACGGTAAGCAGCTCTAGCCTTGAGGGATACTGTCAGAACAAAAAGCATGAACACCACTACAGTGTTTTCTTAAGACTGTCTTTTCTGACTTATACAGTTTTAGATTGTTGCTTTAGAGACAGGGAACAGTTTGTCTAATTCTTTTTTTACTGTTTTTTTATTGCATCTGGTCGAGTAGGGAGAGGGAGAGTTGAGGGGATTCCCACATTGGCCCACATAGTCTAAATACAACACTGATAAACATCTCTTGGTTATGGTTAGACAAATTTGCCGTCATTGTCGGGTTATGTAGTCTATGATTTACACGTGAACCACTGATGCATGTACACGCAGGATTCTGTAGGTGATGAGGTGAATTACAACATTGAAAGGAAGGAAATCAAGTTTTGTAAACACTTGTTAAAGAAACTATACTTTTGGATTATCGTCATGGATTGTTGAAACCAGTCTCATGGATCCTTGCTGTGTGTGTGTGTGTGTGTGTGTGTGTGTGTGTGTGTGTGTGTGTGTGTGTGTGTGTATTTCCTCTTTGCTTTATCTTATCTAGGATGGAGTCATCTGCTGATAGCCTCTTTGTTGTCTGGGATGAGTCTTAAAGGGAAAAACTGTGATGTATAAACTATAACCAATGTATTCAGTGGAACCAAAATGTGGTTGCTAGGTAAAACATTTATAAAAGAACATAACAACATAATTATAAAACAAAATAATTGCTTGGTATTTATAATTAAATTATGTTGTACCAAACCTACTACTATTACTTGTAGCATACTGTAAACGGGTAAATGCAGCCACGAAAGAACAACTCTTCTTATTCATTTGAAATCAATGCGTCATTTGTACTTCACATCAAGCCCTCTGGAACAGTATGTCAAAATAAGTCGTGTACATTGTTTCCACAGCCAACACAAACAGTGAACTCTACACGTGCATGTGTGTAAATGTTGATGATGTGTTGATGACTGTGCTGCCCACTCCACTACTCTAAATGCTTGTATTATGGGCACAGTGCCAGTTCATTAAGAGCTGTGCCAGCGCAGTTACAGGGGGGGAACAATGGCCTCTTTTGTTTTCCATGTGCACTCTTCTTCCTCTGTTCGTCCTCATACCGAAACTCAGGGGTTCATAAAACATGAAATGTACTCTGTGTGAGGAAATCCCATATCGACTGGGGTAACAACTCAATCAAAATGTATACAAGACACTAAATCATTTGTCAGTTTCCTTTTCTTGTCAGTTGATATTAGTCATCTGTCAGTGCTAATGTTGTTAAATTTCAAATCTGATTTGTTACTAAGGAAATGAATCCGTGTATCATTCGTTCATTTGTTTTTCAAAATAAAACCAAAAATAAGAAAACGAAAAAAAACAACTATTTTCTTCATTATTTGTCTCCAAAACCAAAATGAAAAAACAGATAACACTTTGTTTTTTTAGTTTAAGATTTTGTGTTTAAATGAATAATGGAAAAAACAGATAACGTTTCTACTTAAACTGCAATGCCGGACTGAACCAGGACTGAACCAGGACTAAACCAGTCTCAGGCCTGATCTCAGTCCCGTTCTGGTCCCGGTCTCAGTCCTTGTCCCTGTCCCGGTCCTAGTCTGGTCCCGGTCTCAGTCCTTGTCCCTGTCCCGGTCCTAGTCTGGTCCCGGTCTCAGTTCTGATCACCTGACAGTCTACATGGACGCAACACCGGGCCCGTCCTGACACTCAGTCCTGGTTCAATCCTGGTTCAGTCCTGGTTCAGTCCGGCATTGCAGTTTAAGTCATGGAAACGGGAAATGGCCGTTATCCGTCTTTTCCATTATTCATTTAAACACAAAATCGAAAACTGAAAAATCTAATCGGTATCTGTTTTTTCATTTTGGTTTTGGAGACAAATAATGAAGAAAATAGTAGTTTTTTCTTTTCTTTTTCTTTTTCTTTTTTTTGGGAAAAACAAATGAACGAATAATACATGGACTGAAATGGCTAAGGAATTTGCTTTTCAGTACTTGGTTTAAAAATAATAATAGAATCATTTTCAACACAAATTAATTGTAGTTTCTTCATTATTACCACATGGTGTTGGTTCTGGTAAACATTAAGACTATTCTAAAACTTTCAGGTCAGATTTTGCCCTATTTATGTCATGTTTTTTACTTGTTTGAATATGTGTCTAGGTTTGTTATTAAATCAAGTGTCAATTAGTGTCTCGGTATTGATTTTGTTTTTTCAAACCTTTGCTCTGATATGGATTCTGTGAACAAACAGTAACACGTCAACAGAGATAGACGCTGGACCCCTGGACTTTCCAAGATACAAATTTAAACATGTCTAGTTCAAACAATTCAGATATTTTTTCCTTATTTTCTTTCTTTTTATCCAATCTTGTTAATTTTAAATGCAGAATAATAAATGATAATTGTTAAAAAGTCCATGTGTCCAGCTTTTTCCTATTAAGATGACTTTTATTGTGTAGTAGTGAACAGAGCCTCAGTGAGGATGTCCACTGTTGTTGCACATGCAGATGGTCACCTGTTTGCCCTGGCACTCCCTTTTAGATTCCAAACATTCCTCAGTCTCATAAAGGTGGTTTGTTGCAGAAATAGAAAGTTGTGTGTGAATTTGTCATTTACTCCAGTAACTATTTACTTAAACAAAGAATGAATGAACTGTATGTGTGGGAACATTTGTTGATTATTGATGATTGACTTCTACTCATGTGGATACAATCTCGTTACCTGGCTTGGATTAGATCATTTGAAGCAGGGATCTCCAACCTGTAGCTCGGGAGTTACCAGTAGCTCTCCACCCCCATCCAAGTTTTGTACATATTGCGCTGAATAACTCACATTTGATTGATTAAATGCCTATTTCCCTTGTATATGTATAATTTTGATGCCTAAATTTATGCACTGATAACTAGATAATGGGTTATGTTTTATAGATGTCTAACTCTACCTCATCTTCAGCATACCTTGGCTCTTATATTTACTAAATTTCTGACAACTGCTAAAATGATTAACTCTCTGTCATTTTCGTTTTACAAAAAGTAGTTCACAAGAGGAAAAAGGTTGGAGGCCCCTGATTTGAAGTATAGTCTATGATTATGTCCAGATTAGGGATTGGCAAATTGATCAGTCATGATTTTCTATTTTATGTTTTTTTGTTTTATTAAGAACAAATAAAAAATGTCTTTCAATATTAATTCCCTTAACGTAAACTAGACTTTTAATTGTTGACATTTAACTGGGTCAAATGTCTTTCTTTGAGGTCTGAACTCCAAATCACAAAAGAAAAAGAAAAAATTTAATTCTGTCAATTGAACAAAACAAAAAATAAAATAAACAATACAAAAATAAATAAATAAATCTTTGTCCAGTTGACAGAATTTATTTTTTTGTTTTGTTATGATTGGGTGGAATTAAAATTACTCAAGCATATTATTGTCAATTAGAAATGACAGAATCTCAATCATGATTGAAAGTTGATTAACTGCACAGCCCTATGAGTCAAGATTGCATCCAGTACTTTTTTCTTTTTTGATGACTTGTAGGCCCTGTTTCTTTGTAGAAGATGACACTGTAACAATGAGGGCTAGGCAAACAGGTTTTGAAAAGAACCTGATAACGTTTCAATCCAATTTTAGGTCAGTTGATTTTGAAATTTTGCATTGCTTCACTCTGTTCTTAACAAGCTTTGCAAAGTAAGCATTTCTTTACAAGTCTGGTCAACGCGTTTGAGCAATATCTGACCTAAAAGCCAGAACTGCAAGTGAAAACAAGCCTGATCTTACAAACATGTGCTCTTTGCATGTGGGTACGATTCAATGCTGACACTGTGGGAACTGAGCAGCAGAGTTTTTCACTATCTGTATTTAGTAAACACTCTCACAAATGCGCGCTTGTAATCATAGGCTCTTACTGGGATTTCAATTTAATAGTGGAGGCGTCACCACACCCAAGAGAAGGCACAGATCAAATTTAGGTCAGAGAGAATAGTAAAGGAGAATTCCTATTTACGCTATGTGCCAGTTTGCCCTCTAGTCCCATCTGAATCATCTCCACTAGGGTTTCATTCAACTGCCTTTCTTCTCCTGTGTGGTGTTAGGGTTACCAACAGAGGGACGGCCAGGAGCTAAAGTTCATGCACTTTCTTATTTGGTATCATAGTAAAGTTTTGTAGTGAGTTTGCGCCGATAATTTTTACTTTCGTCACAAATGGAAAATTGCAGCGGAGATTTTGGCAAGGAACTGTGAGAAAGTTACTCAATGCTTTTTTTTGACTGGCAAATTTTAGTTTTATTTTTGTTTCATATGTTGCTTGTTGCTATGTAGCTTGATGTTGTGGAGATCAATAGTGTGAAACATGATAGGCCAGATGTAGTGGTGGTCGATGTGGCAATATAAAATCGAATTGTGATCTGAAAATGTGAAATTCGATCCATTTAAGGAGAGTATTATAGTGCGTTTCAATATTTTTCTGTCTGTTTTCCTCAATCTCTCTTCTCTGGCTCTGATAAAGAGTAAATGGCAGATTAAACCAATTGCATTTGAATATGAACCTAGACCTCTTAAGAAGAATATAAAGCTACTGTGTATGCCACGGATTTGACTCATTGATCTAGGCAAACAGTGATACACCTTTTGTAATCCCAAACAACAAATTTGTTGCATCCTTTATTTGTTGTGTTAACACATTGCATGAAAACTGTAACAGGGTGGTGCTTACAGTAAACAGGGAATAGCAGGGCTGAATATCTGTCATCGCTAAACGGATTTTGTGTACTGCTTATGTCTAGTTCTCACTATGGTGACACTAACAGGGCGCTTCAAGCTATGAAGTAACAGCACTTGCACTGGGTGTGTATTATTGGAGTAATGTGATCCATATTGTGTGTGTGGTCATGGAAGTCACATGACGCAGGTGTATCCGTTACCTGGCCTTCACAGCATGCTTTTCCAATCATGTTAATATTTAATCAATTTAAAGTGCAAAAGGTTCAAGCTGGACCTGGCTGCCTTCTGGTTACACAAAGTTGACTTTTAGCCGATCGTCTCGACGCTTCCAGTTGGGCTGGTGCTGATTAGATAGGCTTAAGCACCTGGCAGTCTCAGCTCCTCAGCTAAGTGAGTGTGCAGGGCTGTCTGCCTAGCACTGCAAAACAAGAGACAGGAGGCAAGTCAGGGCAGGGCCTGGAGGTGTGTGAGAGCCTTTGATTCTCATGGACCAAACCAGAGAGAAAAGTGTGAGTTTGGGGCTGAATACCAGTCCTCCTTTAATGCGAAAGGAGAAGCACCAGTGTGAGTTAGTCTGCAGATAAACAACATGATGCGGATGGTGCCAGCGTTTTCACACAGTCCGCGTTCACCAGGTCAGTTTTACTTTAAGGTTTTGGAGGACGCAGTTGGTGGCAGAGGCATGCGGGTGAATCAGTGCTTGGTCACTGCTTAGATCAACAGTTTTAACCATCAAGAAACTTACTAGAGTTAGTTTAAAAGAAAACGGAAGTATCTTCCGATTAAAAAAGCATGTTTACATGTTTTTTTTATCATAGAATGTAAAGTTATACAAAAGAAACAGGATAGGTGCACTTGACACTTGGCCTGGCATTCTCTATTACCAGCTTGTGGATACATGTTCCTCAAAGCAACAGTGCATCCACTGTCTGTGTGTTGTTGTTTTTTTCCTCTTGGGCAATTCAAGTTAGTTTACAAAATCACAGTGTTCAATTATATCAGTTATAATTCTGATTAAAAGAAACACAGTTGATTAACAAAGCCATCTTTAAATATAAAATATTTTGAATAAATGTTAAATATATTTGTAATCTCAAACTATGTATTCAGGCGCTTTATTGTTTAGCCGTTGTCATTTTCACGTATCATAAATTAATATTCAGTCTTCGAGGGATCTTTTTCAGATGACTGAATGTGATGATGTCATACTCCCAGATGGGGGCCAAGAGCCAGATTGCCCCATTGCTTATAAAATGTTTTTATTAGAAATCTTCAAAAGAAATCTTCACAATAGATTAGAACCTGTCTCGGCCCTTGACCTCATGTAACAACCAAATTCTGCGCAATAACGATGGGAATTCTACCTGCCTGTCCATCTCCAGTAAATCTGATATACCTTTTATAATGTTGAAAATAACAATGAAATCCAGCTATTCCATATAAAACCAACACAATGAGACTTTGTTCAAAATTTAAATTATAGAATTTTTGTGTAATTTGGTTAAAAACAATTGCCACATAATCCAGTGAAGACAGATGGTGCATTCAGGATGTTGGTGATTAATATGGATTCAGCTCTGATGTCAGGAGCTCTAATAATAAAAGCTGTTTATCAAGCGACACGCCCGAGAGTCAAGTCTGAACTAACATGGTAACAGGATAAGTGTTTTCCCAAACTAGCGTGACCTGCCGCATGCATATCACATTTCTCTGCATATAGGCTGAAGCTTTACATTAACTGTGGACTCCGAAATAATGATTGATTTTCAGTCTCTGACAATACGTGTAATTAACTTTTTTCGTCTTTTGTGTGAGTCATTCTCTGTGATCGCACAAGTACGCCTGTTTTCCATGTTCTCAGATGTCATGCATTCCTGTTCATGCACCAGGATGTAGACACTTCTCAGGTGGTTTCTTTCCTTTGGCGAAGCGGTTTGCTCAACATCAGCTTTTTTAATAGTGGTTGATCACAGCTTTGATCATAACAATCATCACTCAAGGGCAGTCTGTGATTAAGCACTGCCTTCCCTTTGTATTCTTCGTAGTTAGCAGTCTCTGTTAGTAACAATAGAGCACATTTTCACATGTGTGCCCATGTGCTGAGGAGGGCTCTTTTAAACATGTTTTTAATCTTCCTTTTAGGCCTCTGCACCTCAATTCACCTACTCCCCCTTGTGGCAAAAGTCTAGACTAATACCACTAAGTAAAAGTAGTGGTAGAAAAAAGGGGAAAAACAAATGGCTTACTGTGTTTGTGACTTGAATGCACTTGTTTGGATAACTCTCATTTTAATCTTTGTAATATGTAGAATCACCCCCAAATCCCTCCACAGGGCTTTCTCCCCCCTCCGCGTGTTTACACTTATGATCTTTGACCTCACTGGCCAATCAGAGGCAAGGGTGCCCTGCAGATGGGGGGCAACAGTGGGATGTTGGGCATCCCTCTCAGCGCTGACAGGACGAGGGAGGAGGCCAGGAATTAGGCTGCGGTTGGGATTACAGTCTGAGCTCTGATTGTCTATTGGCTCATGAGAACTGCATGGACAAACAGCCTGAGCGCAAACAAGGCACACTGGCATCATCATATCAGGAGAGCTACAGACTTCAGCTGCTTTTTATGGACTGCTCTGGATGTAGCTTTACTTTGGATATATTAATTCAACATTGGAGAAGTTATGGTTCTTCTTGTGGCTAGTCCTCAGTGTGACCACAGCAGTAATATTTACTGCTTTCCACCAGTTTTCAAAAAGAAAGGTGAGTGAAAGCGATACTGTACAATAGCATTTCTTTTATCAGACTTAATTGGTTTATGACTCAGACTAATTGCTCTTGTGTTTATTGTTGAGATGTTTAGCTATGACAAGAACAGGCTCAGGCACACCTCTCTGCAGGCAACAAAGCCATTAAATTGTTGTGTGCAGGCTATAAACTTCAGTCTCAGGTGGAGATGTCTGTTACTGTGGCTTTGTCAATTCTGATTTATGCTTCTTGAAAAGGTGTTATTTTATAGACATCAGTACACTGTTAAATGTCAAGTCAAATGTATTTTATATAAAAATAATCACAACACAAGCGCACAACTTGTCTCAACCCTATAAACGCATCATCATTAATAAAATCACGGTTGAGCAATACTAAATTTAGCTAAAAACAGTATTAAAATGTTGTGATATTAACATGTTTTGGAGAAGATGCTGTAGCTCAATTTCTGCTAAATGCCAGAGTCGTAAAGACGAGACAGTGATTGAAGTTAATATGGAGTGCCGTGCACGGGCCGGTCAAGGCTAATTCCAGCCTGGTCTTACTGACAGAGTGACAGAAGTAGGCACAAGGTGACTAAATCTGGCACCTGCCACGATTACATAAAAGTGTCTAAGCAGCTCTGTGTCCTCGAGGCGTGAACTTGTATCACATATGATAATCCGCCCTTTGCTGAGTAACTGTGTTATTTTTGTCTGTTAACTTTTTATTTTTCCTTTATGTTTTGCAAACATTATTGTGCACTTTTGTCCAGGCAGCATTCTGAATTACTTTTTAAAATTATTTCTACATGGTCTCAGTCTTTTCTAGTAGTAAAATGTAAGTACTCTTTCCATGTCTAATTCCCCCGCCCCATATGTACTAACTAATCAGCATTACTTTGCAGTGACAAACACCTTATTGCACTTGCTGTGTCCATATGGTCACTTTACTGTTACTGTAACACAGACATGATCCACACTGATCCCCCTCTCTCTCCCCTCTCTCTCTGATTCAAGCTGTCCCAAAGCGAGATGACGATGATGATAAGAAGACCCCAGCCCCCCATGTGCTCCAGGAGAATGTGTTTATTGAGGCTAGCAGGCCCAAGTACCTGGAGGACCTTCACAGTGAGGCACTGGAAGGACTCAAACTGATGCAACAAGAAGGTAATAGTCCATGAATGTGAACTGCTGCCATAATCATAATACTTCTCAACAACTAGGGTATATATGTCTCACAACTGTCCAACAATAACATTATATATAAAGTATATTTCTTTTTTCAGAGCGAATTCTTGGACCTGAGTATCACGACAATGAAAGCACAATTGTGAGTAACACAACATTAACAATCTTTTGCCTTAGAAACACAAAGCTGAGTCTTGTTTCTTTAGTCAACAACGTCAGCCCGAGCAGAGGTAGATGGAGGGGGCTTCACCACAGACAGCACCCTCCCTGACACATCCTCCATGGTCTCACTGCAGTCCTCTGTGTCTTCAAGATCCTCACGCTCTGGGCTCACACGCCAAGGTAAGCCGGCCTTGAATGAATGAGGACGCCCTCTAGTGATGTATTGTGGTACAGCAGGTAGATCGATGAACGCTGCCTTTGCTAGTTACAACGTCATATATATTTATTTATATTTACAAGTTACTTATTATTTTCTGGACTTGTTTAATCAATCTAGTTATTACAGAAACCTGTATACAAATTGGCCTACATTTGAAAAATACAAGGGGAACTATTGGCAAAATCTGACTAACAAAAAAAAAAAAAAAAAAAAAAGCAAGATAATGCTATCTCTGTTCCCCAAATTTAAGTAAAGTGATTGATTGTTTTATCAGGATCAACCTTCAGACCACTGAACTCTGGGAAAAAGCCTGAAAAAGGCCGGACAAGGAGAAGACACAGAAGGAATATAGGGGGTATCCCTCAGCATCTTCAAAGAGAATTTGGTATGTAAACTAACACAGAGAAAACTACGCAATAATAATTCTAGCATTTATAGTGATAATGTTTCTCTTTCTCCAGGCCTGGACAGGGCCGAGTGGACAATAAGTCCACAGTTGGAGGAGGAGATTTTAAATGGGGAATCTGATGTACCACAGCTGGCTGTGCACTCACCAACAGAGACAAACACAAACACAGAGGTCGTCCCTCCCCTGAACAGTGTACAGGAGGAGCAGCTCCGAGGACCTGCTCATGTGGACGACATGGCCCTGCTGCAGCGTGTGGGCCCAGTGGTGCCTGGAGGGGACAGGGCCTGGCCAGGGTCTCTGGCTGTCCCTGGAATGACTACTGCAGGCAGTGGTCAACCAGGACCCCCCAGCCCTGTGATGTCCATGTCCCCTCAGGCTGCATATTTGTCCAAAATCATTCCTAATGCAGTGCTGCCACCCTCTGTCGAGGTTGTAGAAATAAGTCGCGGGAGCAGCCGCAATAGTGTCCGAACCGTCACCAAGAGCAGTTTGATAGTGTCCAGCCCATCCTCGTCCCGTCCTTCATCCAGAGCCTCTACGGCCCGCAGCACCTCCTCCAGAGGCTCCACTATGACCTCCGCCTCTCGACAGATGCACTTCCACCTGTCAGACAGCTCCTGCTGGAGTAACTCAGACTCAGACACTTTAGTGTCTGATTCCTCCACTATTTCAAGTAGCAGCACCCCGCGACAGAGAGAAGACAAAGACGCATCTAAAAAACAAAACAAAGTGAGTGATGCATCAAAGGGTCCATCCAATGGTAGAATGATTAAGGGAGATGAACTAAAGAAAGATGGAGCTTTTATACGCAGCCTCTCTGTCATGAAGCCTAAAAGAGCTCCTCCGCCCCCAAGTCGCTCTTACTCTCTCCACAATAAAATGAAGAGGCGCTCTCGTGATCTGGCAGAAGTTAAGATTACGCCGAATCAAACAAGTGAGGGAAGTATGAAAAAAATCATAGACAGTCCTGGATATAATGCTGACACCAGTTCACTGGATGAATTCACTGGCTCCAAAACACCAAGTCCCCTAAAGTCCCAGCAGAATGTGGATTCCACTAACAATAATGTTGTCACAGATGCTTCAAATGAAAAGAAAGAAGCAACTCTATCTAATAATCATGGCACAGTAATCTCTCCATCCAGTGGCTACTCCAGTCAGGATGCCATGTCTCCCAGCAACTCATCTCCAAAACACAAAAAAGGACTGTTATCTAAACTGCACAAGTTATTCCCTGCATCCACACATGTAGAGGTATCCAAATCCGCAGTCACTCAGCCAGATGTCAGTAAAACCAGCAATGCCTCTGTCATCACTGTCAATGAGAATGCCTCCGTAAAGGCTTTAAGAGAACTTTTCAGTATCCCCCCACATCCAAAAGTACACGCCCCTCCTCCCCCTCCCCCTGAGGTATGGTCCCACAGCCCTCGCAGTATTGAGCTGTTGCTGGGACCACCTGCACCTGAAAATACCTATGCCATTGTGAAGAAAAACCCTAAAGACAAGAGACCATACAGACAGCCTCCCTCCACATGCGCAGACGGCGCTGTGAGAAGTTCGATTGAGGAGCAGAGACAAAGTAGTAATGTAGAGTCCAAGAAAGTTCATGTAAGTCAAGAAAGATCTGTGAATGTAGAGAATAGTAAAAGACTGATGCAGAATGTAGACCATGGAAAAGTACAAGTAAGTGCAATATTGAATGACATATTACTTAGAACAGTAGAAAAAGATGGACAGAGGCTCCCAGCCATAGCAGAAGAACATAAAAGCAGTACACGGAATACAACGAATCCCTCCATTTCATCAGCGCACATTTCTCCTCAGCTCCCCACCAAACAGACTGCAGGGGTCACGACTGTCATCTCAGTACAACGAGTCACCTCCCCTGAATCGTGCTGGCCCCCTCCACCCCCACCAGTGTCACAGGCAGGCCTAGGCAGTCCCGATGAAACGGAGTTCCCTCTGCCCCCCCCTCCTGACAATACTGAAGATGAAATAGTCCACCCGGTGCAGGTGCCTCCAGACAAGGCTGTTACTAGTGCATCAAATATGTCCACAGCTCCCCCCCTAAATATCCCTCCTCCACCTTCTTACACAGCACCTCCGCCACCAATAAAGACATTTGTGTTCTCTGAAAAAGTCAAAATGTTCTCTAGAGATAGTTCCCCTCCATCACCAAAAACAACTTCACCTCCAAAAGACGTCAAGCAATATAACATTTCTAAACCATCGCCTGAATCCCCTCCACCAGCTCCTAAACTTTCAGTCATTCCTCCACCCCCAGAGGCCCCCTGTCCACCACCCCAGGAGCTGTTAGCGGAAGGTCCCCCTTCAATTATCATCCACGCACCATCCACAGTACCCACTTTAGTGCTGTCAAATTCAAATGTTTTTCCTCCACCTGATCTAATCCCACCCTCTCCTCCTAGAGAAACGGTTATGATTCCTTCCATAGTGGCTGAGCTCCCGTCTCAAATAATTACCACCAATATTTTACCACCAGAAGACATTCCTCCGTCCCCTGAGGTAGTCTCCAAGCCCCCATTGGAAGACGCAGCTCCTCCAGTTCTAACCCAAGAGACTTCATCTCCAGCAGAAGAATCCCCTCCGGCTGCTGAAGGACCATCACCACCAGTAGAGGTCATTATCACTCCCCCTGAAGTCTCTGTCCCACCTTCTGAAGAAGTTTCTACTCTTATAAAAATAGAAGTTACTCAACCACTAGTAGAAATCCACCCAATACCTGAATTGTCCATTCAACCAGAAGATGTGTCTCCTCAGCCTTCAAAAGAAGAACCACTATCCAAAGATTTGCCTCCTCAATCTTCAGAAGTAATTGCAGATGAGCCCCCAGAACCCAAAGAAGAGCCCACCCCAGCGCCTAAAGAATCCCCCCCTTCAATTGAAATGCTGTCACCACCACAAGAGGTCGCTCCATCTCCACCTGAGGAAAGGCCTCCATCACCAAAAGAGGCCCCTCCACCTGAGATTGTGGTTATAGAAACAAGCAAACTCCAGGTCATTGAAAACTCCTCTACATCAGTTGTTAAAGTAATTTCTACTGCATCTGTGGAAGAGCGCCTTGAAAATCCACAAGAACCATCTGATATTCCATCACCCAGCAGTGATTCTGGTCCAGTATCGGAAGAACCAGCCCCGCAAATAGAGACTGAGAAATCAGAGGAAGATATTGTTGCTAAAAATGAATCCAGTCTACCCCCATGGAAGAATATTCTCACTCCTCCACAGAGTATTCCACCTCCTCCTCCCATCGAGCAGCCTACATCTGACTCTTTACCCTTAAAAGAACCAAATAAACCAGAAGAAGTCACACCAAATAAACCAGAAGACACTGAACAAGTCCCGTCACGACCTGAAGTTTCAACCACCGATACCACCACTTCTCCACAAGAAGCTGATGCCACTGTAGTTCCTTCGCCTCCAATAGAAGAAGTTCCTAAACAAGAACCTTCTTCAGATACTGGAGAACAAAACGAAGAACCAGCCTCTCTTTCCATAAAGGAAGAACTGTCTGAAAATGCTAACCATTCTAATGATCAAACAGTCAATGGTAAACTGGATTCTCCTAAAGCAGAAGATGAACTGAAATCTGAAGTCACAGCAACCCAGGAAAAAGAAACAGCCCCGCAAATCCAATCTGGCACAACTGATGCTCCACAAAAACCCATCAGGAAGTCCCTCATCATCAGCGCTCCGCCTTCTCCACCCACAACAGCAGCCACATCTCCAACTCTCCACAGAATCTCACCTACAACAACCATCACCAGGTCTCCTACAACTCTCACGCCCTCCATGAATCTTCAAGAGGCAATCCGCTTAAGGACTGCGGCACGATCGCAAAACGGTCCATCAACACGGCTTAGCATCCACTCACCACCAGGTTTCGATGTCCGCAGGTCTCCCACCAGCACAGCCAGCTTTATCTTCTCCAAAAGCAATAAGAAGGTGGTGATTGAGACCAAGTCAGAGGTCAAGGCAGAAAAGAAAACAGAGTTAACAAAGGCAGGCGTGGAACAGCCGGCGAAGAAGGAATTCAAAGTGCCTCCACCTGTAGCAAAAAAACCCAAAACAAAAACCAAAGAAGCAGAGAGTGGTGACACAACAGGACAGGATGCACAATCAGATGCTATTAGAGGTAAGAAAAAAGAAGTTGGTGATGACAAATTACTGTGTTCTTAATTTTAAATGCAAATAACGGGTTAGACTACTCATTTCACTAAAACGTAGTTATATAAGATTAAATTATATAAGATTTTACTGATTCTACCTAGTCTGACAGTGTTTATAATTATAGTTTGATAGACATGGGCAGCTGATGTGAATGTGACTTAAATAGTGGTAATCCATAACTCTTACCTCACAAACTAAACTAAAGCGCTTTATGTTGCATTTTTATATAAAAAGCGCTCTATAAATCAAGTTTGATTTGATAACATACTGAAAAAATGTGCCAAAGCTTGTCCCATCTATATACTGTTTTGGTAAATAAATACATTTGGTAAATAAATGTTTAATGTAGAAAAACATGAATTTTGCTCACCATTGTCCCTGCATTTTGGATGAAGTTTTGTGTATTATGATTTTACACAAACTTGCCGCTTGACTGGTATAAAACTGATACATATTCACCACTACTATTAACTCTGCAAACATATATGTACATTTAGAAACAATTAAAGCCTTTTGTATGCACTTTAAACTAAATAACTTCTAATAACCATGTTTGTTATCTTTCTTTCACTACAGATCACACAAAGAAACCAAATGGGACCGCAGGGACTGTTGGACAATAACTGTGGGCCTCAACCTGTAAAAGCAATAACACAATATAACACGTTTCACTTAAAGCATGATATAAAATCACTCAGACTGTTGCTAATGGTGTAGGATGCCTAATCTGCATGCAATTGTATTTGTAAAGAGGATTTGAGTTTTACCTATGTAACAGATGGAAATGTATCGCCATCTAGTGTCAGACGATGATTGTACAAACGATGTCCTGCTGAGTAATATTGTAGCTTTTGGTTACTGTTACTACAATTATTCAAAATGAGGCTTTAAGTTACTCATTTGTAAATATGGCATGACTGTACATTCACTTTACTCAATTATGCTGTCTTCCAAATAGTATATATTTGTTTTGAAAGTACTATTAAGTTATTTGTCACGAAAGTTCACTTGGGATTTTCAGATCATTTTAACACCCTTAATTTTACTACATTGTATAGCTCTTAATCATATTTTGGTTTCAATACCACATAAGCATATGAAATGTAAGAGTTACCTTTGGTTTGCATAGTTCCTGCTGCTTTCTCAAACGGAGGCTTGCCCCACCTGGCTAGACTGTGGGAGATTTCAGTTCTATTGGAAACTGATTGTAAAGACTAAAATAACAATGATTTATATTAAATAAATGTTTATGGTCTCAAATGTGATTCACTCTTTGCATTATGCCCATGATGACTAGGTTTGAAGTTGAGGAATGTGATGAGTTGTATATTCTTAATTTATAGTATAGTTTTAGTAAGGGATGTCAAGATCAGCAGGTCAAAAAGAATTTTAGGACCAAAAATATGGGATTACAATTCAACCTATTCTCCAAAAAACACTTTATATGTAGTTTTTTTTAGTTTGTCGCATTAACTTTATAATTTAGAAAGTTTGATTGCCGTTGCTGTGACCAATTGTATTAAATCTATTAGATGTTGTGAATGAAAACATTTTATGCATTACCCTATTGTTTAATCAGGGTGTCAGTCATTTGTGAATCATAAAATCATGTTTCTTTTCACAATAATCGTAACACTAATTTATATTGTCATATCTCTAGTAAGAAGTGAGGCACAACCGTTGCAGTGTTTTCATTTAATAAAACAAAATCAAATTGAGCATTTGAAAAGAAAATTATCTCCAAGTGAAATACCAAGTAGTGTCCTTTGCTTCTAGCACCTTCACATTCTCATCACGGTTCTGTTCCAACACTCGTTTGCTCTCTGCATTCTCACTTCCATCAGGATCCAGTAGTGGTGCAGCTTTTTCTTTTAACGCAGCGTCTGGTTTCATCCTTTGATATTCCAGCCTCTTCATGGTAGATTTGACCTGCATATCATTACTGTGCTCAACAACTTGTACTTTGTCTTCTTCTGGACCTTGTGTAGTCCACTTTAACAGTGAGGAAACATCAGATTTAGAAGAGCTTATCTTAGTTTGAGTTATATCTGCAGTTTCTTTAAGGCTTGCTTGCTTTTGCCTGGAATTTTTGGCCTTTTCTGCACTATTATGGATCTTATCTGCACCAGTTGTGTGTATGTTAGAGCTGGAGGAGTCTGGATGGTTAGATACCCACAAGGATTCACTGCTAGTAATGCCTGGAATAAAACAAGCAATTACATAATTTTTGGAAAATGTGGTTGTTAATGTCAATAATCACTGACCATCCATCATGACTCTTTGTCGTTTGGAGGTCACACATTGAGAGTCACAGCATTTGCAGACATCATCACCGGAGAGGGCCTCCCATCTGCAAAGTCACATTACACCACACAAAAACATTTAGTGCTACTTACAAATTCTGTGTTTGCTTACCTTTCTTGAGTGTATGTGCAGGATTTGTGTGCTTGGCTTGGACCAGCAGATGTGACATGTAACTGGCAACTCATGCTGATCTGAAAACCACAGCTAGGGTTACATTTATGTCATACTGTCTTTATGAACTTAAAGGTGCACTATGTAACTTTTCTGATGGAGGGGGGGCATGCTTGTCTTCAGGTATGGGGACTTGCAAGTCATGACTTGGACTCTGGTCAGATTTGACTTTAGAAAATGGACTAAGACTTGGGGCCCAAATTGGACTTGAAGGTCATTGACTTGGGACTTGACTTAGACTTGAGCCCTTGGACATGAAGATTTTAAACTTTTCTCTTTACAGCTTATACATCAGTGCTTAATTTAAAGGAACAATTTGGAACATGTCCCTCCCACTTCTCTATTTGTTATTATGAATGCAACAGTAACTGAACTGCTGTGATACTGTTTCATTAAAAGACAATACAGTAAAAGAGGGAACTACAAAGAACACAATTCTCCCATTTCAGTGCAGACTACAGGACAAAATAACTATTATTATGCACTTTTAAAATCTCTCTTTACAAGACCTTAGTGTGAAACATTATGGTCGTAATAAAGAAGAAAGGAAACAGCTCCTCAAGCCTCTCCAATATACTGCACTTCTAAATAAACAAAAACCTTTAAAATACAATTTGAGAAATCATATAATTTGCAAAAAATACAAGCTGTATTTGGTACTTTGGCTTAAAGACTTGAAATGACTTAAAGCTCAAAGCAGAGGACTTGGACTTGAGTTGGAGGATAGCGGACGCTATCCTTGCTTGCTCCTGCTGTTTTTGCTTTTTAATCAGTTTACCTCCTCCAACAACGGCTATTTTTGATTTCCTTTTAAGTAAATTAATACTTTTAAACATTTTTACATTTTTTAACAAATCATCTGATGAGCCAGCAACATGTCGGGGAGAAGAAACCAAGGGAATTCTATCTGTGAGCGCTGTCGGAACTATCAACAAGAAATTTATGAGCTACAAGCACGGATATTTGCTTTAGAAACTGAAAAAGGACTTCATCAGACGCTACCAGTGACTTCCAGTGGTGAGCAACCTACAGTTACTTCTAGAGAAGAGGGTGAAAATTCTTTCAACTTAAACCTGAGTGATACTGTGTCTTTTCCAAAACTTGGTACAGACCAAAATGCTAAGCCAGCGCAGCGAGTGAAAAAAGACAATGCACCCACAATAAAGCTAACAAACAGATTTTCACCACTGTCACAGACTGATGTTAACGTACAAAGGGATAATGTACTGTCATCACAAAACAAGAACAATAAAGTTGCCAAAAGAGTGCAGGCATACCGGGAATCTGTGCCAAACGTCAAGGTCAGAGATACGTTGCTGCTAGGAGACGGGGCTATCAGTGGTGTGAGTCACAGAAGAATCCTAACATGCTGCTACCCGACCTACACTGTTACTGAGATAACAAAACTCCTGCCAAACGTTTTGTCAACACACCAAGGGGTCAAACAGCTGATTGTGCATGTGGGTGCAGTGGACATCAGAATGGAACAGAGTGAAGTCTTGAAAAGGGATTTCACAAAATTATTCGAGGAGCTTAATAAAGTGGAGGTTAAGACATTTATCAGTGGACCTCTTCCCAACATAGACCTAAGGAACAGGAACAAATTTACCCGACTGTTTCAGCTGAACACGTGGCTGCTGAACATGTGTGTGCGGCCAGAGGATTGCACTACATTGAGAACTTTGATCTTTTTTGGAAACGGAAGGACCTGTTCGAGGGAAATGGCCCACACCTAAGCAGAGGTGGAGTGAGAGTGTTGACGGAAAACCTCCTCCACGCTCTGAGGCACCGGCCTGGACAGGGTCCTGTGCATCCAGTGAGAGAAAAGAGAAATGGGAGAAGCATCCCTGCTGCACCTAACAGAGAACCAGCCAACAAGTCAGCACCATTGACAGCACCACCACTGCCACAACCACAACCACTTCCCCCTCCCCCAGACAACAACTCAGCAGCAATCACCTCCCCCTCCCCCAGAGAAACAGTCAGCAAACCATCACCTCCCCCTCCCCCAGAGAACAAGTCAGCAACCACCTCCCCCCCCCAGAGAACAAGTCAGCAGAACCACCTCCCCTCCCCCAGAACAAGTCAGCATCACCACCTTCCCCTCCCCCAGAGAACAAGTCAGCAGCACCACCTCCCCCAGAGAATGAGTCAGCAACACCACCACCAGCGCCACCAGCACACCCATCACCTCCGCTGCCCACAGACCAGCCTGGAGTCCCCCTTGCTACATCTACTCCATCAACGGACTCTTCACTCTCCTTCTCCTCCCCACCTTCACCCATGGCACTGCCCAACCATCTAGAAAGCCTCATCAGATCGGGAATCAAGATGGTTCCTCTCACACCTAACATAGCACGGTCAAGGGTTATGTTGAACTCTCCCCCATACAAAACTGTGCCTGTTTCACCACCAGAGACTCTCTCAGCTCTCCCCTCTAATTTTTCACCCAAACCTCCCCCTACTCCACCTCCTCGGTCCTTACCAGGCCCCTCACCCAAACCTCCCCGTATTCCACCTCCTCGGCCACCTCCTCGGCCCTCACCTGGTCCCTCACCTGGTCACTTACCCAAACTCTCCCCTGCTCGCCCTCCCCGCCTTTCCCCAGAGCTGTTATCACCAAGAGCTAGGACGCACAGGGCCTCTGCTGTCCCAGGACATACAGTCATGATAAAGGTAATATCAGGCTGGGGCCCTGCGATGGAGCTATAGCTCCAGTTACAACACGTAGACAGATTAAAAGAAGGACAGTTAGACTGTCTAATCAGAGAAATTTAGTTCACGTTCCCTGTAAGAAGATAACATCCAGTCCTACTGAAACTAATCAGAAACTTGCTGTGCTCAATGTCAGATCTTTATGTAACAAATCATTTCTAATTCATGATTTTATTTCTTCTTTTAATCTTGACTTTATGTTTTTAACTGAAACATGGCTTGACAAAAACACAGGTCATGCAGTGCTAGTGGAATCAACCCCTCCCAACTTCAAATTTGAATCTGAAAACACGAGCAAATAAAAAGGGTGGAGGAGTGTGTGCATTTTTTAGAGATCATTTGGTTACACACAGGTTGTCATTTGGGGTGTTTTCATCATTTGAGTATGTTTCCTTCAAAATGGAGCTAAAACAATCACCGTCCATACTCTACATAGTCATATACAAACCTCCTCAGCACTGTCAAAGTTTTATTGATGATTTTACTGAGATGCTTTCAGTTGTATGCACAGACTTTGATGGTTTAGTCATTACAGGTGATTTTAATGTACATGTGGATAATGTGTGTGACAAAAATGCCAAAGAGCTTAGTGTTGTCCTTGAAACTTTTGGTCTGACTCAGCATGTCAGTGAGCCCACTCTCACAACAGAGGGCACACTCTGGACCTGCTCATTACAAAGGGTGTAAATATTTCAAATGTCAATGTGGTTGATGTTGCTCTGTCTGATCATTTCTGTGTCTTCTTTGACCTGTCTGTTATTCCCAAACCACCGGCTGCTCCTACAGTTGTTCGAAGGAGACACATAAATGACAACACAGGTGCACTGTTCATGGAAATGATACATTTTGAAATTGCCTCATGTTCTAATGTTGATGATGTGTTGAACTCTGTGACTTTGAGTGTTTTGAATGTTCTGGATGCCATCGCTCCGATAAAGGTTAAAGTGGTTAAAGATAGGCAAAAAGCTCCGTGGAGGAATGATGACTCAGTCAGGGCACAGAAAAGGGAGTGCCGGAAGGCTGAGCGGAAATGGCGCAAGTCAAACCTCCAGGTTCATTATGAGATTTACAGAGGAACAATGCATATGTACAACTACACTTTGAGTAAAACAAGAGAGAAGTATTTTTCGGACATTATTGGTAATTGCAGTAACAACTCTCGTGTCCTGTTTGCAACAGTGAACAGATTAACAAACCCTCCAGCTCCACTGCCACTAGAACTAATTTCCACATCTAAATGTAATGAGTTTGCAGTTTTCTTTAATGACAAAGTTCAGGGCATCAAAAATGCCATCAATTCCACAACACAAATAACAAGCATGCAGCCACAGAGACACTTAGAGCTGAATCACTTTGCACCTGTAACTGACAAAACTGTTTTAGAGATCGTTACCAGTCTGAGTTCATCTACTTGCTGCCTGGACATGTTACCCACTAGATTTCTAAAGTCCGTCCTCAACAGTTTACTTTCACCACTCACTCACATAGTTAACATGTCACTTCAATCTGGAACATTCCCAAATGCATTGAAAACTGCGGTCATTAAGCCTCTCCTAAAGAAGAGCAGTCTTGATGCCACAGTACTGAACAATTTCCGACCCATCTCAAATCTGCCGTTTTTTGGCAAAGTCCTTGAAAAAGCTGTTTACCAACAGCTTACGAACTTTCTCCAAATGAACAACTCCTTTGATGTTTTCCAGTCAGGTTTTAGAGCCCACCACAGCACTGAGACTGCTCTTATCAAGGTGACAAATGACATCCGCCTGAACACTGATGCAGGCAAAGTCTCAGTCTTGATCCTGTTAGATCTGAGTGCTGCTTTTGACACTGTCGATCATGGGATCCTCTTACAGAGACTAGAGGACTGGGTGGGCATTTCTGGTACTGTACTAAACTGGTTCAAGTCCTATCTAGAAGACAGGAAGTATTTTGTTGAAATTGGAAACTGTGTCTCAGATGACATGGCCCTGACCTGTGGGGTGCCTCAGGGGTCAATCCTGGGCCCCCTGTTGTTCAATCTCTACATGCTGCCATTAGGCCAGTTAATAAGCAGCAATAACGTGTCGTACCACAATTATGCAGATGACACTCAGATCTACGTCTCTCTGGCAGCAGGAGACTATGGACCAGTGGAGTCACTTTGTCACTGCATCCAACAGATCAGTGTGTGGATGCAAAACAACTTTCTCCAGCTAAACTCTGACAAGACTGAAGTCATAGTGTTTGGTCCACAGAAACAAAGGGACAGTGTCAGCAGTCACCTCCAGTCTCTCTCGCTCTAAAACCTTCAAATCAGGCAAGAAATCTAGGGGTAATAATGGACTCAGACTTGAACTTTAACAGTCACATAAAATCAATAACATCTGCAGCCTTTTATCATCTAAAAAACATAGCAAAAATCAAAGGTTTACTGTCTAAATCAGACTTGGAGAAACTTATCCATGCATTTGTCTCCAGTAGGTTAGACTACTGTAATGGTCTGCTCACTGGTCTCTCCAAACGAGCTGTGAGACAGCTGCAGAACATCCAGAATGCTGCAGCTCGGGTCCTTACTCGAACTAGGAAGTACGAGCACATAAGTCCTGTGCTCAGGTCTCTGCACTGGCTTCCTGTGCCTCAGAGAATAGACTTTAAAGCAGCTCTGCTTGTGTACAAGTCTCTCCATGGCCGAGCACCAAAGTACATCTGTGACATGTTAGTGTCATATGAACCATCTCGCACTCTGAGGACCTCAGGGACCGGCCTCCTGCTGGTGCCCAGAGGCAGGACTAAACAAGGGGAGTCAGCATTTCAGGTTCATGCAGCTAAAACCTGGAACAGTCTTCCTGAACATGTGAGACAGACTCTTCTGTGACGCTGTTTAAATCCAGACTCAAAACATTTCTGTTTAACTGTGCATATAACTGAAAGGTTTTCATTCCGCACTCTTCTCTCTTTTTTAATTTTAATCTTCATGATTATTTATGTTTTGATTTGTTTTTATTATGATTTTAATGTATTTCTTATTCTGTAAAGCACTTTGAATTACTTTGTGTACGAATTGTGCTATACAAATAAACTTGCCTTGCCTTGCCTTGGACTGAATTGGGACTTGACTCAGAATTGAGGTCAAAGACTTGAGACTGACTTGAGACTTGCAAAACAACAACTTTCTCCCACCTCTGCTTGTCTCCACAAAGATGAAATTGTTTTGCTTAGAATGGCACAGTATGGCATTTACTATATCTGTCCTGCAGTTATTTAATTGCAGGAGCTTTTATTTCTGAGCAGGCTTGCCTCACCATAAATCTGACCTGTAACTTGGCCTGGCGGTGACGCTTGCCTCCATGGAGCCAAGTTGAATGCCACACTTTGAAACACTCTAGCAAAACAATAGAATATCCATGGAGACAAGCAGTTGGCGTAACCTCCAGCAGAAAAGTTACAGTGTGCATCTTAACTTTTTCATCTCACCTCAGCATCAGGATCAGTGACAAACTGAAAGGCTGTTAAGGAAAATCTCAAGCTCTTGTCTGTTCGGGTGACAAACTTCGATGCACCGGGCTCTATTTTACTGTCCATTAAACAGCTGTTCAAGCCAAAACCAAAACCAAACAATATTGTGCATATGTGGAAGAGTAAACAATGATACAAATGACAGTGCAAAACACTCACCCATAATTGTCAATAATAGTAAATTTTACATTTGAATTGGAGTGAGTCACTGGAGTTGCAGAACAGCTGTTGATGTAGAGTTTTTGTCCAGGAGGTAAGTGAGGAGCAGAGACCTGGAAGTTGACCCACTCCCCAAGCTGGAACACCCTGGATTTGACAGGATTTGTCCATGTGTCTAAGATATTTGGAGGAAAAGTAACAAAACGATGGAATATTACATACTTTATTCCAATTGATCAATAACTTCACTTCCAAAAAGTAATCCAAGCAAAATATTAAAAGATGCACCATGTAACTTCTGATGCTTGCGTCACCTGCTTGTCTACAGGGAAAATGATGAGTTTATTGCCATACTGTTGAACATTATAAGCAGGTGGGACCCTCCACCAAAAAAGTTAAATACTGCAGCTTTAAAGAAGCTCAAAAATAACCAAAAAGAGTTTACACATTCAAGTTAGACTCACCATCCATCAGCTGTATGTTGAAGTTAGTGTGACTTGCCCTCAGCCTTTTATGTACAATGCGAGGTTCCCATGAGGGTTTTATGGCCAGTTTGTGCAGGTAGTGGTTCCTGTGTGCAAACAGATTCAGCATCAGAACCTTGCAATGGCTCGTTTTACACAAATGCAACAGGATGTCTAAAGTTATTACTGTAATAGCCTAAATGTATTGTCACAAACCACAGATAGTATGTGCAGTAAAAAGGCGCAGGCCCACCTCTGATATCGACACTCTATGTTGACAGTGACCGCGTGGGGTTTACTTGGAAAATGCTCTGGAAAGGGGTCATAGTGGAGAACAAACTTGTAGGACAGATAACCGGGCAACAACTGTAGGGACAGAGGACACTTTGATTTCACTGTCTGGGGCAGGACAACCTGACGGTGAAGTATTTACCTCACGCACACCGCCGCACTCTGTGAGCGGGTAAGAGAACAGAAGGTCACCGGAAGGACGCAGCACGCCGTTACTTTGGCAGGTGCTGCCCAGCCTCAGGTCACTGGCGTCAGCGCCCAGCCCGTAGAATCCACTTTGACCCGCACAGTGAAGTCAGATCTGGCGCAGGTCACAGAGACGTCCGGGAGCGGGGCTGTGTCTGACTGGAGCTGTGCACCATCAGACTGGAAGTACTGAACCACAGAGGAGTGAGGATGGAGCAGGAGAGGCGCGCTTGTCCTTGATGTTGTGGCTTTTATTGATGCAAGTTTCACGTACTCCTCAGTAGTTGTCCTTATAAAAGCAGGCGTTACTTTAGCTGCGGACGAAGAAAGGCTAAACAATGCAACACCCAACAGAAGATAAAGGATACATTTTCTTTCTGTCTCTAGCGCAGTGAGTTTCGTTCGCGTTTGCTTTCCCATCATTCCACGCGCTAGGCCAGGTGAGGAACACCTGGGAGTGATAAATCACGTGTGCTGATAACATCACAAAATGTTGAAGCAGTTTTGTTTTGTTTTTTTTATTCAAAAGTAACATTCAAGAAAACATTTTACAAACATTCAACACAACAAATAAATTCACAGATTAAAGTTATCTGTTTTTACATCGCATTTTACAGCAGCAACTTGAACACAGGCTTTGTGTTCAGTACAAATCTCTACAGGAATATATACCTACATCTTTGTCTTACATTTTGAGCAACAAGTTTTAATAAATAATTTAAATATTTAATTCCACAGGAGAATTACCATCTGTATCGCTTACAATAAATAATTAATTTAAGCAAGAAGTGGTTTGAATAAGTGTTGCTAAAATACTTTGAGGTATTCTGTGTTCTGACTATGAAATCATCAAGCTTCATTCAAAATGTATTTCCTCCTTGCATGTAGCAAAAAGAAAAGACAAAATAATCTCATCTCAGACAGAGTGTAAGGCAGTGATTTAGTCAAATAGATATAGTTGGTGTCATGTGCCTTCCCCATCATTTGAATTCAAGTAGATTTCACATTTAGATGTGGAATATAAAATAATGTGTAGAAACTGGCACAGCTTCAGCCTCATTCAGTGGAATAGTGCTGGTGGACCCTTCAAAATAAGGGCACAAATTGGCAATTCAGACCGTCTGAATTGCTACACATTTGACAAGAGAAACAGCTCTACTCCTCACATGGAGTAAACCAAGGGATGAACTAGTAGCCACCGACATCAGAACCCCAAATTCATAATGTAACAATGCAGACCTTGAAACTAAAGCTCTTTGGAAAATAATATTTCATCATGTGGAGAACCAACACCATTTTGCCACCAGGGGGCTCCATGGGAGTTTTTCTGGTAGAGGCAGCTGTGGTCCTTGGTCTAGGGTTTGCTTCAACAGGTGCAAAAATGTCAAGCCCAGTACAGGCTGTACTAAACACTGCTCCCGAGTATTGACGATTCAGAATCAGATTCAGAGTCCCTAAAATAACACAGAAAACCAAGTTTTAGTCTACAATGTTCCACTACTTAAATACAGCAATCAATTGATCTTGAACTTACAGAATTTCCTGCAGTTGTTTTTGATTGCATTTTCTGGTTTCTTCATCTATAGGGTATGTTTTTAATATTAGCAGTCCAAAAACAATGAGTACCAGTGGCACAGGACAAACCAGCATCTTCAGGGTTAAACTAACCGACTCCGGCTGGGAGCAAGCTCCGGTCACATATCCTGCAAATCTGTAGAAAAATGCACAAAATATAAGTGGATTGTCCGGTTTAAGGGTTTAGTGTGGTAACAAAAGACTGGTGTGGTTTATATAACTTTAAAGTATAGTAAAATAAAAACTCACTTTAAACTGAGAGTGGAGATGCCCAAAGAGATGCCAGAGGCAAATTTAAGGAAGAAGACGTAGAAAGAATAGAAGATTGCTTCGTGTCCATGAACATCTGGATTTTTAAGTTTGAAGTCATCCACCACATCTGGAAGCATGGACCTGAAAGAAATACATGCATGTTTGCTTCAGTTTAAAGTTTCAAGACATCTTACAAATTCATCATTCTGTATCTGTGTGTGAGCTCACCAGGGCAATAGGAATGATGCTGCTACACTCACTCCAGCAGCTACTGACACCATGTAGGAAATGATCAAGTTGCTTTTAATGGAAACTATAAGGATCATAAAAGGAATTGCCCACTAAACAGGGATGGAAAATCAGGTTATGGTTTTTGTCAAATTGTAATCTTGTGAAATGAATTGAACTTTATTACACTTACAGAGTTGCCAATATAAACAGCTGTCTTCTTGCCAAAGCGAGTAAGGAACCATTGCCAGCAAGGAATGGTCAGACTGCCAGACAACTAGAGGCAAGCAATATGAAAGTTTAGTACACACAAAATCAATACTAATACATCTAGAAGTATAACAATCTGAAAACAAGTAGCATGTCCAAAACATATAAAATTTTGAGGTAATAGTTTGAGAAGTCTTACCATGATTACAAGAAGAATGTTCTGAAAGTCATTTCTGTGGCCAAGAGCGTACATGATGAAAAGGGCAAAGTTTCCCTCTATGAGCTACAAGAGAAATAAACACAATTTAGTGCTATTTAGTATAATACCATCTGCAATAACAAGAACATTTCCAAACATTACCATAAAGGCCAGCGATGTGAAAAGGAAGCTGATAACCAGTTTTACATATGAGCTGTGGCTCATCACCAGCCATAGTCCACGCTGGAAAGTGAGAGGCGCAGACTTTTTCTCTCCGTTGTCTGAAAAAAATAAAATAAACTAACATTATGTAACATTATTCAAAGCTGTATTAGATAACAAAATAAAGATATAAAGTACAAAGTATGAGCTTGGTGCAACTGAGGAAGAATGAGGTGGCCATGACACTGATAAACCATGTTTGGAGTCGTTTTGAGGTGGGAATAAAGAATCCTTGAGCTCTTGTTTGTCAATATCCACACTATTTTTCATTGTTCACTTTAGACTTAGACAAACTTTATTGATCCATAAGGGAAATTACTTGGATACAGTAGCTCAAACATCACAATATATTACAATAACACAGATTAAAAAGAAAAAAAAAAGGTTTTGCCTTTGGTTTGATTCAAAAGAAAAGCTTTTTAAAAAATATTTCAGGAAATTTAAGGGCCTCAGAACATGGCTGCCTAAGTCTAAATTTTAGACTTACGCAAGCATAAGCCTAAATATATGTCAATAAAAAAGACGGAATATGTTGTGTACTAAGGATGTAATCAAATATTAACCAAATAAGCCTCGGGTCTATTTAAATAGCAATTTCCTTATAAAGAGCCGCCTCATACTCAACATACATGGATATAGTCTGTGTTAGCTTGGCCAAGAAGATACTGGTGTAGGCTGTAGTTGTTAGAATAGGTTACAGCATAAATGACTAGTCTGTGAAATATAGAACTCACTGTGCATGTTTACATTACACGATTACCGCCTGTGCTAAATGAGATTATAGCATTCACGTTTGCTCTGATACCTTTTTGCTCCTTTACACCCAAGAACAGGACAACAGCACAGACGATGTAGATGCAACAGATGACACCAGATGCAAACATGTAGGCTTGTTTCTATAAATTATAATAAAAGAGTTAGTTAAATCTGGTTAAATAATAAGGCATATAAACAGTCCGCAGAGTTACTGTTCTGACCGTATCTTCTAGTGAGATTTTGGTTTTGTTGATCTGGGAGGAATTTGTTGTCTCCGTAGGACAGTCTGCAGTAGCCCCGCCCACTATTTGACCTTGGATGGCTGTACCCAGAACATTTCCCAACACTTCCACCATCATACCTGGACAAATGAATCAGCTTGGTAAGGCATACAAAAGTCACTTAATGAAAGAAAATAAAGCACAATTTACTACAACTTACGATAGGCAGTGGCAGAGTCCCGTTCTTTCTGATGTTTGCTTAAGAACATGGTGAGGACCGAGTACGGAACATGGAAACACTAGAATAAATCAACACAACCTAAATTAGTGCATAATGTCAAAACAGATGAGGAAGTGTTAGACAGAAGTACTAACCGTTTGCATTGACTGGAATAGGCAGTAAAACACCAGGTACCAGAGGACTTTGCCTTGTTCAAATGGAGGCACATACCATATCAGAAAATATGTCAGCACTGCCAAAGGTGTAGATAAAAGGATCCTATAAAAAAAGTGTTAAAATATTTTATTATTTTATGTTCACAGGAGGTGTTTTTTATCATGTCTTTATCTCAGATTTTATGTTCATGTTTATGCTTGGTTAATAATCTCGTAATCCAATCTCGAGTTTGTTTATGGATGAAGGGGCTCTGGCTCAGTCTGGGGACAGTAGAAATTCATTTGAGAGTTTACAAATATTTATTTTATGCTCAACTACAGACAAATATGCACGCTTTTCCCAGATATGCACGGATTTATATCCTATGCACAGTGCAAATGAATATTTCTGAAAGCTTTCATACTCCATAGTCAGCTGATGGGGGCTACTCATAATCATGTGGACTGGTTTGGTACAAGTAGCAGGCTCAGTGTCCTTCAGCTGTCTCCTTTTTGACAAAGTTACTAGGCAATTGAACACAACTAAAGTATTTTATTGCTGCTTTCAACCGTATCAGTTATTCAGCAACTCTTTACGACATTTGTGCATAGTTTCCGGTTTTGTGTGATAAATGACCTTGACGTATGCTTTAAATGAGTGCATTTAATTGAGTTTATGACACATCAAAACACAGTATTGTCTTAGAACAATGTGTGTATTGTATTAGAACAATGAACGCATTTCTAGCCATCACTGTGTTTATTTTTACCACCAACCTCTAATATTTGCTTTTGAACTGAAGTAACCTTCCTCTGTTTTGGCCCTCCTCCCTCTCACATTTAGAAAGTCAAACTTGCACACAGGACAGACCCCGATTGGTTTGAATATCATGGTGTGTTGTGGGTTGGACCAATTGTAGAGCTCTGAGCCGTGTCAACCCTCCCTCCCCCACAATGCGCGGCACAGGCACAGCAGCCGGCATGTCTAACTACAGTAGGTATACACACAAAGATATCACTGGGAATCATGAAAGCTAATGATGCATAAAATATTTATTTACAATCTACATCAGTGTTTTGTTGCAATATTTTAGCTAGTGTGTATTGTATCTCGCATGCCCTCCTTTTGCCTGGAGATTGATTTCAAACTCATGGTTTTGCTCAAAGAGATTGACATTCAGAGCGCAATCCATTTTGAAAATCACAGATCTATCAATATGCCAGGCAATGCCACATGGATAAATCAAGAGACAAAATATTCAGCACTTATTCTGTGTCAAAACCCACCCATCTTGTTGCCATAGTTACAGCTGAGTGGACACCCACGACTTCAACTTCAACTGTACATCTTACATTTTTGCCACAGTGTTCGTGCCACATACCATGGCATCATGCGTCCGATGCGAGTCCACCTGCTCCGGCTCACCAAGAAGCCCACAGTGGGGTCAGTGACAGCATCCCAGGCCCGCCCCACAAACAGGATGACCGAGGCGTGGAAAGGATCCAGCTAAGAAGTCAAATATACACACAGCATTAGACACGAGAAGGTGTTTAACATCATGTGATGGACAAGGACAACAATAAACCCAAACTCTCATGTACAAATTAGAAGGAAGGCAGCATTAACCAGCTTTTGTTCACTCTTGCATAGACCAGTGGGGGGTTAATTATTTGATAATTGGGGTACAAAGCAGAGTGTGTCTGAGTTAAAATGCTCGACTAAGTGTAAACACACCAGTGCCACGTCCAGGAGGTAGATCTGGAGAAAGAATCCCAGAGCGCTGCCTGTCATCTGGTAGGGAGCACCACCAATGGCGTAACACAGTTTGTTCCACACAGACAGACCATTTTTCTGCCTCGGTTTCTGTAAGGACAAATTAAAGGGCAACATTAAAATGAGATTCAATATAGAGGTAATGAAAAATGAACTTAAGAAACGCCTTTGTGGCTATTTTTAATATAGGGTTAGCGATTCTGTCTGAACTGCTCATCAGGGGACCATGGGGACTTACCCAATGCCTACACCCCTGGATTACAGTAAACCCTAGATGGCTGTGTAGTGGTGTGAATTATACTGAGGTTACTACAGTTTACTCTCACGCCACGTCATCTGCTCTGCCATTGGCTCAGGCCACAGGATGTTTAGTGGGATCATTTGCAAACCTTCCACTCTATCTGATGTTCATCTTTATCTTTAGCACAATTACTGGGCATACCCATGGATTTCAGAATTATGAAAAATATGGGCCGTTATCAAATCAAAACAAAATATTATTTACATCTTTTCAATAGTAAAATGTCCTCAGGTCCTTCTTACAACAGGAGGCTGAAATCTAAGAACAGACCATTCTGCATACTTTTGTGATATAGTACAAAAACTGAAACTGATCTTTAATCTAGAGACAAATATCTGCACACACTGTTAAGACACAACTAGGCCAAATTTCTCTCTCCCTCTCCTGTATAAAAATGTAGTCAGTAATGGTCTACAGTGGAGAAGTTCAACATAGAAGTCTGCTGCTGAGGGTTTGACTAGGGGAACCTCGTGAAAGGTGACCCTTCCACTCGCAACATTTTATCATCTAAATTTAAGCTGACAGTAACAGTACGGGTCTCGATAAAGTTTATCAGTTCATACACTCAAGACGAGTGTCAACTGGAAATTAGTCTATTTCTATTTTCACCTTCATCAAATGACTCACGCAACTCCCAAAGCAGCCCTACGTCAGCCTGGAAGATATTACAAGTGTACAGTTGGAACCACATGCATTGGTTCTTCTTGGCAGGCAAGGTGAAATCTTCCATCAAGAATAGGCTATGGGAGAAAATGCGCTCAAAGTGGTGATCGAGGCGCACGTGTAGTGGTCCCTGTGAAGTGAGTTCAACTACACAAAAGGTCTAAACATTCAAGTAATTTCCCGTGAGCCTAATCACACAAAAAGAATAATAGGACAATATAATGTTGGACTGATTTACCTTAGCCTTGATCTCTGCGTTTACAACAGGCTTCACAGACAATAAAACCGCTGCGTATTGCTCGGCGCCCTCTCCTCTTGCCATCGCACAAACAGGTGAACGTGAGAATTCGAAAAGCGCCGTGAAGGTTGGAAGACAATAAACTCTGTGGCTAAACCTTAAACCGCTTCAGTACATCGTGCTGTAGCCGTGTCCTCTAAAAGTGAATGCTCTACGCTGGCTTCAGGTCATTCATCTGGTTGGTGCTCGGCTTTACTACGCTTCAGCGTCAGTGGTGACGCTGCACTCGGCTGTTCTCTGACGTCTCCCCAGCTGCATCGAGATGTACCACAGATGTACAAATGTGCTCTTGCCCAGGTTTTATAAAAAGAAGTAAAACCATGGGGGGAGCCGCAATGAGAGCCTGACACAAGTCACGACCTTCATAAATGGCGCGTTTATCGCCTTATACATCCCTAACCAGACAATAGTGACACGCCCAATATTAGACATGATGGGCCCAACCAATATTTTCATTCAACTTTTAATCTACTTTGTGTGTTTGCTTTTCTTGAATTAGTGTTAATCCTATTTTTTATAATTTAAAAATAGCAAACAGCAATAGTTAAAATAAAATACAGGTTGCACTGCACCTCAAAAGCACGCGTCACTACAAAGAAACGACATGAAAACAATTGAACAAGGACGCCATCTAGTGTTTCATTTGCGCAATTTCAACAAAAAGATGTGAGTCACTGGTGGTTTACAACAAAGTGAGTCCTTTAAAAAAAGAAAGAAAAAAAAGCAGTTTTTTGCTATAACATATTTTACCTGCATGTAAATGATAATATAAATGATAAATAAAATAATAATAATTTTGTATCTTGACACCTGGTGGTTCAGTCCCAGCTTCAGCAAGTAAGTTATGTGTGGTCGTGTCTTTGGGCAAGGCACTACTACACCCTCAAATTGTGTGACTAGTTTGCGAGTGAGTGAGTGATTGGTGGTGCTCAGAGTAAGGAAATTGGGATTATAACGTAATACAAACGTTGTCTTTATTCTTTATTGGTTTATTGCCACTATCGGCAAACTAAATTTACAAAGATACTTTTACTTCAGCTTTATGGCGCATCATTAACAATGAATCATAATATAAATAAAGACTATAATAAAATGAAAATAGAACATGAATTAAACTAATATGGTAAATAAAAATATACTTTAAAATAGAGCCTACAATGTTAGCAGAACAACAGTGCAAATATCAGTGCAAGTAGATATATTTTAGTTCCTTATAGTTTCAGGAGGAGTTCAATTAAAAAGCAGAACACATATGTCAAGTATAATAACTACTAGCGTATTTAGGGGGGAAAAAAAGTGGATAAGAGTAAAAAGTAAAGCCCATTTTCAGGGCGTTGGCATAAAACAAACACCAGGGGGCAGTCTAAAACAACTTGCCATCAAAGCCTATATAGCCTTATATTACCTTTAAGGCTGCTTGATTATGGGGGGAAAAAATCAGAATCACAGCTATTTGAGTGACTGAAATCAGGATTATTTTAAACAACTACTTATACTGTCAAAATTTGTAATGCTTTGTGAGACTTGTTTTAAACGCACTGTAGAGTTTACAAGTATCTTTACTGGTTGTGAGGGACAGAACTTAATTGATTGTATTTAATCTTTTTTGGAGGATAATGGAACAAGATAACTTTTCTACAAATATTTTTATTTTTAGACCAGCTTGTAATAGAACTAACATAACACTCGTTTAATAATTTATCCTATAAGCAGAGATAAATGTTTAAGCTATCTAAGGTCAGGAATATTTATTGGAAGTATGAAGAAATAGCTGGGCAGATATCGATCTTTGATATAGCAAAGATCATGGGCAGGTAAAGATGGTGCAATGCTATATTATGGGTGTGTCTAAATACTAAAAAACATCGTCAACATCCCCAGGGAGCAATAACGTTGAATTATTTATGTTTTATTCCTTGTTGCATTGCCTCCATTTGACTGCGATGTGACTGGTCTTTTTATTTTGCCTGGGAGTACAGGGTTAAAGATCAGGGGTCTTGTGTCATGAAGGTCGTGGGGAAACGATGGATATCTGTTTATAAATGATGTGGACTGCTGCATTCACAGGCCACTCTTAAAACCATGGAGATTCCAGCACTGCATTGTCATTCATAATACTGGAGTGGCCTAGTGGGAGTTGGTGACTACATGAGTATTCTGCCACGGTGCATCCCGACCCCCAAGCGCCTCATTCGACCATCTCACACATATGCTACTATAACAATGAGGGACAATGGTGGGTACTTGAGGTTAAGCTAGCTGGAGAGATAACTTGGGGTGCAGGCCATTGTCCGTGTTAAGCATTGTGATGTTAACAAAGCAGTGGGCAAAGGTCCGAAGAGAGGGAAATATATGTTTATTTTCCATGAGTAAAAGTCATCAAAGTTCTTTAAAGGGCACTATTTTAATTATAATGTTGATATAAATCATCAAAAACATGCATGGAGTTGTGTTTTGTTTCATTCATATTTCTTTAACACACAAACCTCGCCTTAAAACTCACAAAAATCAATTTTACATAATACAAAACCTTATATTTTTGGGTTAAGTTATGAGAATATAGTTATTAGTATTAGATTATACAAGGGGCCTTATCGTTTTGTTAAGATAGTTTCTAAAAAGGCACCTTTCCTGCTAAGCTCTGACTCTCACCTTTATGTGAAAGATGGGAGCAAATTGTGACTCCCTTTAAGTGGGACGATGTAATTTACATTTCAGGATCAATAAAGTCATGAAAAGTTCTCTCTGGGCTCTCTTGTTCCCTCCCACGAACCAAAGCATGTGCAAATCACCCCTAAAAGGAATGTAACAATAAGGTGTTACAATAGCCATATCCTTTAGTATGAAGAGTCTGTTAATACAGGCTGCTTTAGAACAGTGTTTCCCAAACTTTTTTCCGGGGACCCATATTTTAACAGTCACAAACCTTCATGAACCAAGTAAACAGACATTATTCATACATTACAAAATAAATTTGTGACCATTATTGAACATTAATGAGGATATTTTATTGTTGACTGAGTGATCGTGTCTCTCTGAACAATTAGTATTACTCAAGTTTTAAACAATGAAAAACAGTAATAGAAGCAGCAATAAAAGGATCCATGAGTCACCTATTTGAACATTAAATGTAGCCCTTTTCTTTTTCTTTTCAACATTCAATTGAACCAGAAATATTGGAACAAAATAGTCATTTGCTCTCACATGTGTCAGAGCTGTACATTACAGACCTACATGCAGATTGTGACAAGACGACCCCAAAAAAATCTTGTGACCTACCCAGTCTTCGGGAAACCGTGCTTTAGAATGATAGGATAATGGTAAGTATGGTAAATTTTGGGCTGAAGATTCAGCATAATCATAATTACTTACGAGAAAGTAACTTCATTCACTCAATACGGTGGCTTCTCAAAAAAATATACATGTATATCTCTGAAAGTAGGCCTATTGTTTTGGACAAGCATTCATTTCTACAGTAAAGTAATTTGGTATGACGATGGATGACTAAAATAAAAACATGGTGAGAGATATAATAGTATAAAAGTATGAATAACATTGCAATTGCCATTTTAATAGTGGTGGTCAGTTTGATTTTGATGCAAAGACAATATTGTAAATAATAAAAAGTGGCATTTCTACATTTCAGTGGTAAATTTTAGAGTCCATTCACTTTAAAGACACACTGATGTCACTGAGATAATAAAAAAATAAATACATGAATGAAGCTTCCCCATTATCAAGCCTTAAACCATCACTTCTGACACTTGCCTGGCCTTATGCTCTTGACCTGGTGCAAGTGTCTGGCAGCAGATGTCCATTACTAACCAGACAAAACTATCGGGCCTAAAATTGACCAGACAGGGTTAAGTGAGATGCTTAATTAGTGACAGGGCGTCGCAGTGCCGTGCTCCGATCAATATGTTTGACGGGAGAAACTGAGGGGTGAGAGGTTGTATGAGGACGGGGCACATTGTCTGGTCATGAGACGTTGATGCACTTTGACCTTTTGCTTTAAAAATGTTATTGGGTCATAAATGGCATTAGGTGGGAGCGGCTGGTGCTGGAATGACTGAATGTTACAAGTCATAAGCTGAACATTACTTAAGTGAATATTGTGTTGACAACACTGACAACAGTAATACGAGTCTGTGATTCTAAGTGATATTAGGGATGAAATCTGAGAGCGTTACAAATTCAGACTTTTGGCAGTAAAGCACATTTTAAGCATGATTTAAGACACCTCAATGTGAAATAGCAAGACTGGTGCAAAACATCATTGTAAAAAAGTCAAATATGACAAATTGCTATTGTAAGTATATTCAGTATGCTTAGCCTGACCTCCAACATGCTGTAAAACTTCAATCAAGCTTAAATTTGCTTTGTGTAACAATGGTGTTTCGTTGTGAAAAAGGGGCAGACTAGTGTCCATCAAAATGGCTCTACAGCAAATAATAATAAAGTCACTCCAGCAGCTGCAGACTATACGCAAAGTCTCTAACACTTGTGGATTTGTCCTGTTTGCATATGGGCCACTGAACAATGCTCTCTCTGCACTCCACCTATCGTTGTGAAAATGTTTTGTTGCAGAGTAAACTGTTTAACCATTTACCTTTTCTCTCAGAAGATGCTCAATATGGAAATCAGGACAATCTGCTTTTAACTTCAGGCTTTTGTAATACAAATCAGGGGACACAGAACAACAGTGTAGAGAAACCCAATCAGCTGGGACACCACTGTTCTGCTCCACTTAGTACTTTCCTTTGACTCAATTTATTCAGCTTTTGCTCAGTTTGTTAAAAGAAAGGTATAATTTTCATGGTGTTTTTTTTCTCTGAACTAGAAGGGACAAAAGGGAGGAACACCTTTGCCTTCTGACTATGGCTTGACAAGGTAGTACATACTAACCAAATTGGGTTTAAATTATTATAGGCTTCCACTGTAAACAGTCCTGATAAAAGTCAAATCAGAGGGAGCGGCTATTGATAAGCCCCATGTCAGTTATGTTCATTCAGGGACACTTAGGGGCGTGTCTGAGCTCTAATCCCCGCCCCGCATGCAAATGAGGGGCTTACCCCGGATCTAGTGCTGCAGATTTTTTTCGAGGCTCCTCCCTGCACTTTTTATCGCCTATAACAGGATATCTCACTGGCGCGAAAAACGCACTGTGTGGCTTTTATTACACACCGTGGGGCGGACCTAGTACCTGCTGTTCTAACCCTGGTTGTTTTACAATACTAAACCTAAAGTGGTGTGCGTCAAAACATTTAAGATCGCGTTTTACAACTCTCCAGACAGCTTTTATTCCGCGGTGGACACGTTGGTCTTTTACTTGGATGACCTGATTTTGCT